CAGACTTGTGGGGGGAAGAGGGGGCAAGGGCATTATACACAACCTTAAAATTTGTACCCCCATAATATGCCGAAATTTTTAAAAAGTGCTTTCAGCATGCTGGCACTCCTGTGCATCCTGTACCTGAATTCCTCTGTACAAAGCAGCTCCCCCTCGTCAACGAGGGCCCTGCGATGGCTCGGAAAGACAGGCTCGTGGTCGCTGAAATCATGTGCCCCCCTCAGGCGAGTCTGTGTCCCGCCCCCGGGAACCCGGGATGTGTTGCCGCAGATGGGAAAGGGACTTTGCAGCCGGACTGAGTGGGGGATCCTGAGATGAGGGTCGTCCTGGCCCTCCGGGTGGACCCAGGGCAGGCACAGGGTCCCTGGAAGAGGGACGGGGAGGCTCAGAGTCAGAGACGTGAGGACGGAAGCAGAGGTCAGAGAGGCGGAGCAGGACTGGGAGGCGCAGGGAGGGCCGGAGCCCGGCAGCCTCGAGGAGCAGAAAAGGCAGACACGGGTTCTCCCGAGAGCCCCAGCCGCCAGCCTGCCGCCGCCTAGTCTTCAGCCCAGAGAGACGGCTCTTTCTCCTTTGGAGACTCAGGACGGAAAGATGACAGGTCTGTGCTGCTTTGAAGGACACAGAACGGAAGCAGAGTCCAGCAGAAGCTGCGAGATAAAAGCTAATTCCTCCTGGAGGATGGTTCACCCTCCACGTTCTGTGGGTACGGCCCGGCTCTCCTGCCGCTGCCGGAGCTAGTCTCGTCTCCGGACCCTCGGGCCACCCAGGTCTGCAGAGTCCCTTCTGCCCAGGAAGGTCATGGTCGCAGGTTCCAGAGATTGGGACCTGGGTCTCTTCGGAGGCCATGACTCAGCTGCCCACGGAGAAAAGGGAAATTTCTTCATTTTGCGTCTTTAGTTCCTTGTTGTTAACAGTGCACAGGCTTTGGCCGGGCGCGGTGGCTCACGCCTGTAATCCTAGCTCTCTGGGAGGCCGAGGCGGGAGGATCGGTCAAGGTCAGGAGTTTGAAACCAGTCTGAGCAAGAGCGAGACCCCGTCTCTACTAAAAATAGAAAGAAATTAGCTGGACAACTAAAAATATATAGAAAAAATTAGCCGGGCATGGTGGCGCACGCCTGTAGTCCCAGCTACTCGGGAGGCTGAGGCAGGAGGATTGCTTGCATGAGCCCAGGAGTCTGAGGTTGCTGTGAGCACGAGGCTGATGCCACGGCACTCACTCTAGCCTGGGCAACAAAGTGAGACTCTGTCTCAAAAAAAAAAAAAAAAAAAGTGCATGGCCTTCCGTGCATTCGGTGTGTTTTGATCCGTTGCCGTCATTACCGTCTTGGATGGGGAAACGGCCCCACCTTTGGCAAGGGGGCCTCAGGGGCCGGGCCGCGTCCTTCCCACGGAGCTGCGTGTGCCCGCGGCCTCCTGGCGTGGCGGCCCAACCAGCCGCCAGGTTCGCCTTGGGATTCCCTCCTCGCTCCGGGCAGCCGGGAAACAACATCGGGGCCTGTGCTTCCCTGGTGACCTCGGTCCCTGTCCCGCCCTCGAAGGACTGATTTCACCCGATGCTACGCCAGGGGGATCTTACACTGATCTTACACTTGGGTTTCATTTCTCTCACACCGAAGACCTTGGCTCCTCACAACGTCAGCGTAACTGCTTATTCACTTTATCCTGCAATATACACCAAAGGCTTAAAGACAACAAGTCCAAGGTCACTGTCAACAGCAAGAAGACTTTGCGACTGTTGCTTTAGAATGAATCCTAGAGAGGACGTGCCGCCTGTGCCCGGTCACGTGGGCTCATTGCTGTCACGGGAGTTACGTGACCAGTTTACATACAGGCGTTAGGTCATTAAGTATGGAATGTCCGATCTCGAATCAAAAGTACAGTTTGTTATGTCTCAAACAGGCATCAGTACGGTTAATCCAAGGGTGCGCCTAAACTATCGACACAGTTTTGGCATCTCAACGGCAGCTTGCTTGTCCCGGCAGGGAAGAGGCCGGGAGGGCGAGTGGTGATGAAATCTCAAAAGGCGTTTTCCACAGCTTGTTGAGAATTGAGTATTTTTCCTGGCAAGAAGCGGTCCACAGCCCAGAAGAAGTGGCAGTCAGTGGGTGCAAGGTCTGGTGAATACGGTGGGTGACAGAGGGTTTCCAAGTCCAGCTGCTGTAGTTTGAGCAGTGTTGTTTGTGCAAGGTGAGGTCGAGTGTTGTCTTGCAAGAGGATTGGGTGGTCTGTCTCTGTTGACTCATCTCGGCCGCCTAACCGCAAGCACCCTCATCATTTTATCAAATTGGCTGCAGCAGACACTCCCTGCGATCCACCGACCGGGTTTCGTCGTGGATGCTGTAGTGGATAATGCCAGCGCTGGACCACCAAACAGACACCGTTGGCTCTTTTAGATGATTATCTGGTTTTGGACTGCGTTTCGGCACTTCGCCTTTTATCCCACCATTGTGCCAAACACTTGTGATTGTCAAAAAGAATCCATTTTTCATCACGCGTCACTACGGTGTCGAAATGGCTCACCTTCATGCCACGACAGCAAAGAAAGACAAGCTTCGAGACTTCTCTTCTGACGCTCATTTAACTCACGTGGAGCCAGCCAGCCAGCTTCTTCACCTGGCCCGTGTGTTCCAGATGGTCCGATATTGCTGGAACGGTGACGTCGGACCTCGCCGCTAATTCACCCGCGGGTGGCGATGGACTCGCTCCCACTTCAGCTTTCAGCCCATCGTCACCCACCTTGGTCTCCGGTCACCCACGTGGCTCACTTTCAAGGTGAAAATCACCAGAACGGGACTTGTCAAACCATCGGCATCCCGTGCGTTCATTAGCCACGGCCTTCCCAAACACTTCCTCGCCATTCCGAGCTGTCCGCGCTGCGCTGGTTCCGTGACAGAACTCATATTCAAAAATAACACGAATTTTGACTTACGATTTCACAAAAATTGCTCTAAAAATTTTTGAGAGATAATCACAGGCCACAAGATGTGTTTGAAAGAACGAGGCTGTGCCTTCATAATAAACAGGAAGTGCCAGGGTGAAATGTCAGAGATGTCAACTGTCTAACTCAGTACCTAAGGAAATAGGACATTTCGTGCTTAATGACCTAATGGCCTCATTCAACAGTTCCTAATCGTTTGCATTTTTGGCAATTGCTTTATGTATATATATAATGTTACTTGTCATACCTAAAATGTGAGCATGTAATATAATGTATGACTCCAAAATCTTAGCTGCATGACCAGACGTATGCAGCAAACTCATGCTCCCGGGGTAACCTTCACGCCATTCCTTCCCTCTGATTACAGACGCCCATTTTTGTTTGTTTGTTTGTTTTGGTTTGGTTTGGTTTTGGTTTGTGTGTGTGTGTGTGTTTTTTTTGTTGTTGTTGTTGTTTTTTGTTTTATTTTGTTTTTGAGACAGAGTCTCACTCTGTTGCCCGGGCTAGAGTGCTGTGGCATCAGCCTAGCTCACGGCAACCTTATACTCCTGGGCTCAAGCAACCCTCCTGCCTCAGCCTCCCGAGTAGCTGGGACTACAGGCATGTGCCACCATGCCCGGCTAATTTTTTTACATATATATATAATATATATATATTTTTTTTTAGTTGGCCAATTAATTTCTTCCTATTTTTAATAGAGACGGGGTCTTGCTCTTGCTCAGGCTGGTCTCGAACTCCTGACCTGGAGCGATCCTCCTGCCTCGGCCTCCCAGAGTGCTGGGATTACAGGCTCGAGCCACCGCGCCCAGCCAAGGATGCCCATTTTTATTAGCCGGGGCGTGCGCCCGCAGCGTCTCTTGCTGCACATACGATCACACACATGCACAAGCCGCACTCTTCTCCCTCTTGCACGTGAGGGGCGCCCTGCAGTGTTGCCCTGTCGCTCACCCGCCGCCGTCCCCACGACCGCTCTCACTCGAGTTCCCAGCGCAGGGCGCCAGCCGGTGCCCACGGACGTGCGGGCTGCTCCCAACCCGCCGCCTCTGCAATGGCACCGCAACACGTAGCCGCGCGCACACGTCACCCGCCTGTGTCTCAGCGGGATTTTTAACGCAGCTGCGGCCCGTCGCGGCCGGTGAGGCTGTCGGGAGCGCTGCCGTGGGACCCGTCTCAGCGCGCCGCGCCGTTTCTGCGTGACTCCCCTCGGGCCGCGGCGCAGGAAAGGCTTGAGCGCGGCGATTCTGATAAAGCACCACCCACAGCAGAACCGTGCCAGCATCCGCCCATCGGGGCCTGGCACCAAGAGGACGCAATGAGGCCCGCCGGTACAGCGCCGTGCGTGGCGGGGAAGGCCCCCGGGCCTGGCGCTTGGCGTCTGGGGCCCCGTGACCGGCTGCCGAACAGCAGAACCGCGGTCCCCGCTGTCCCGGAGGCTGGAGGTCGGAGGCCGGCGTGGGCAGACCGTGCCCCTCGGGAGGCTGCAGGGGCATCCTCACCTCTCTGCGGTTCCGGCGGTCACTGGCGATCTTCGGGGTCTGCGTCTTGGAGCTGCGTCCCTCCAGACCCCACCTCTGCCCTCACGCGGCCTCCCGGCACCGTGCGTCTCAAATGGCCCCGTCTCCTCTCACCAGGGCCTCAGTCTCCTGTCTCCGTCCGTCTCAAGACCTTGAACTTACACCTGCGGAGCCTTTTTCCAAATAAGGGCCCGTTCGCAGGTTCGGGGGGGGCATGTCTTTCGGGGCCACCGCTCAGCCCACTGCACCTGGCGAGGCACCCGGACAAGAGGGGAGGGGGAGGGGGCCCAGGCCCAGAAGAGGAGCCACCCACGGGGGCTGTGGCAGCCGGGGGCCCGGCGCCGCCTCTCCGTGGCACGGGGCAGGGGACTGGGGCTCCTCCCCCCCAGCCCCTCTCTCCTGCTGTGAGCCAAGCCCAGTTCAGGGCTGCCGGGCACTGCGAGCCCTTGGGGCAGAGAAGAGCCGGCACCAGCTGGGGCGGGGAGGAGACGCCCAGCCCAGGAATCCCACCGCCCCGCGCCACCCCTCCCGCCCGCCTCTCGTTCCAGGCAGTGGACTACGAGCTGAACAGAGCCTTCATGCTGACGGTGATGGTGTCCAACCAGGCGCCCCTGGCCAGCGGGATCCAGATGTCCTTCCAGTCCACGGCGGGCGTGACCATCTCAGTCATGGACCTCAACGAGGCCCCCTACTTCCCCTCCAACCACAAGCTGATCCGCCTGGAGGAGGGCGTGCCCACGGGCACCGTGCTGACCACGTTTTCAGCCGTGGACCCCGACCGGTTCATGCAACAGGCCGTGAGGTGGGTCCGCGGGACACAGCCCCCCCCCCCGCACCCTGCCCTCGTGCCCTCCGGAAGTGGCTTCCAACCCTCAGGCCCCCACTTCCCATGCATAAGAGTCCAAAATGCCCAGTGAACCCCACAACCCAGAAACTCGGGCAGGTGGGTGGGGTGTCCTGACCCCAGGTGTCTTTCCAGGCAGGGAGCCGCAGCAGCCCCGACCGGGGGACAGCTGGGGCCCGGAGTGCCCATCGGGGTTTGCAGGGGGAGGAGTGGGAAGTGTGCAGGCATCGAGGCGGGTTCTGATCCTGCTGCACTCTCGCTAGCTGTGTGACTTTGGCAAGTCACCTACCCTCTCTGTTCCTCAGTGTCCCCATCTGTGACATGGACACGGTGAGCACAGCTTCCGAGGGGCACACAGCAGGTGGGGGAGCCCACCCCAGCCAGAGCTCAGTGACCACTGGCCGCTGCCGTGGCCCGTCCCGCTGGGGCCGGTACAGGGGGAGGGCCCGGCTGCAGGCGCCCCAGAGAGCGGAAACACGGGTCTGTGCCTAGATGTGCAGCTGGCAGGTGACCCCAGGGGCAGGAGGGCCCGGGGTCCGGGGCAGCTGCTCGCCCAGCCCCCGCCTCCCCCACGTCCTCTCTCCGCAGGTACTCGAAGCTGTCGGACCCGGCGAACTGGCTGCACATCAACGCCACCAACGGGCAGGTCACCACGGCGGCCGTGCTCGACCGCGAGTCCCTCTACATCAAGAACAACGTCTACGAGGCCACCTTCCTGGCGGCTGACAACGGTGCGCCCAGCTCGGGGAGGCGCTCTCTCCGTGGCTGTCCCGTGGCTGCTTCCGTGGGCCAGGAAGGGCCCGGGCCAGGGAGGGCTGGGGGTGGGCAAGGTGGTGTCTGCACCGACGCTGAGTCGGGGCTCCTTGTCCCTCACGGTCCCCAGGGGGTGCCCCTCCACCCGGCCACACTCCAGTCGTCCACGTGACTGCCCTAACCCGCTCACTTGCCCTGATCCGTGGCTCCTGCTGTCACTCACTCACTCACCCGTGGGCGCCAGGGCAGTCGGGGACGGTGGCGACAGCCTTGCCTAACTCGGCGACATGACCAGCTGCTGGGCTCCCCGAAACCGAGGCGGCCCTAGAACCAGCCCCCTAGTCTCAGCGCCTCCAGCCCGCTGCGCTTGCCAGGGACCAGAGAAGACAGGGCGGCCCCGCCCCGAGGCTCAGCAGCCCCGTCCCCAGGCAGCGCCTGGGGTGCCGCCTCTGCCCGACCACCCACGACGCCTGCACGCTCAGCCGCAGCAGGGGCAGGGACTGAGGCCCCGGGGGCCCCGAGAAGGCGGCGGGGGGGCAGGGAGGGCCAGGGCAGGTGATGAAGGGGGACCCCAGGAGCCTGGGTGGGAGGCTGAGGACAGGAGGGGCAGAGGCAGCAGGGAGAAGGTTCCGGAGCGCTCGGGGCGTTCTGAGGGACATGGGCGGTGTCTGGAGGAGCGAGGTGCTCTGTCGGCGAGTCCCTGTGCCCGTCCCCAAGTGGTCACGCGCCCGTCCCACAGGGGTCCCCCCGGCCAGCGGCACGGGGACGCTGCAGATCTACCTTATCGACATCAACGACAACGCCCCCGAGCTGCTGCCCAAGGAGGCGCAGGTCTGCGAGCGCCCCAGCCTGAACGCCATCAACATCACCGCGGCCGACGCCGACGTGGACCCCAACATCGGCCCCTACGTCTTCGAGCTGCCCTTCGTCCCGGCCGCCGTGCGCAAGAACTGGACCATCACCCGCCTGAACGGTGAGCAAGCGCGCGGGGGCCCACGCCCAGGGCGGCCAGCCCGGGTGACCGCGCGTGGGTGCAGAGCGCGAGCCGGAGTGGCGGGGCCCCCGCGAGGGCCGTCCGGGCTGTGGCTCCCGCAGCCGCCCGCGAGTCTCCAGCCGTCTGCCCGGCTCACGCCTTCCCGCAGTCATCCTGGTTTCTCGCAGTCATCCTGGTTTCTCGCGGTTGTAACGAGCTCGGCCAAGAGCGTCCCCGCAGCTGTGGCTGCGAGCGTCCCCTCCCCGGCTCCCCGCTGACGGGCCCTGACCACGGTCTCCAGACCCGGTCTGTCGTGTGCACAGGCACCAAAGGTCTGGCGTTCAGCGGCAATGAGAAAACGCCTTCTAGAAACTCACGCCAACGTCTCCCTCCACCAGGAGGGGCCTGTCTCCTCAGACCCTCACCAGCACTGAATACGACTCTTCTAAAGAGCCTTTTGCTGGCCGGGCATGGTGGCTCACGCCTGTAATCCTAGCACTCTGGGAGGCTGAGGCAGGAGGATCGCTCAGGGTCAGGAGTTCGAAACCAGCCTGAGCAAGAGCGAGACCCCGTCTCTACTAAAAATAGAAAGAAATTAATTGGCCAACTGATATATATATAGAAAAAATTAGCCGGGCATGGTGGCGCATGCCTGTAGTCCCAGCTACTCGGGAGGCTGAGGCAGGAGGATCGCCTGAGCCCAGGAGTTGGAGGTTGCTGTGAGCTAGGCTGACGCCACAGCACTCTAGCCCGGGTGACAGAGCAAGACTCAGTCTCAAAAAAAAAAAACAAGCAATTTGACAATTTTATGGTCAAAATCATTTTTTTTCCACCTGCATCTCGACACCAGTGGACGCTGTTCCCCGTGTTTATCGGCAGTTTTGTCCCCGCCGTGAATTGCCTGTTCCACATCTTTGCCATTTTTCTGCGGGGAGGATTTTCTCTAATTAATTTGGCAAAACTCTTTATATATTCAGGAAATTATTTCTTCATGCCACACGCAATTGCTCTGTCCCGGCATCCCCGGCGTCGCTGAGCTCAGCGCGTGCCGTGGCGTGTGCGCGGGCGTGTGCGTGTGCCGGCCAGGCGGAGGCTGCAGATTCTCGCGGGAGCGGCCTGGCCCTTCCCGGGGAGCCTGGCTCGCGGAGGGCTGAGCGCCCGCCTGCCTCGCTCCAGGTGACTACGCCCAGCTCAGCCTGCGCATCCTCTACCTGGAGGCCGGCATGTACGACGTCCCCGTCATCGTCACGGACTCGGGGAACCCGCCCCTGACCAACACGTCCATCATCAAGGTCAAGGTGTGCCCGTGCGACGACAACGGCGACTGCACCACCGTGGGCGCCGTGGCGGCAGCTGGCCTGGGCACTGGCGCCATCGTGGCCATCCTCATCTGCATCCTCATCCTGCTCAGTGAGTGTGGCCGGGCGCGGGGGCGGGCGGGGCGTGTGGAGTGCCAGTCTCCGTCCCAGGGTGGCCAGGTGCAGGGTGGGGCATCACAGGTGCCAGTCCCCGTCCCAGGGTGGCGGGTACAGGGTGGGGGGCGTCACAGGTGCCAGTCTCCGTCCCAGGGTGGCGGGTGCAGGGTGGGGCGTCACAGGTGCCAGTCTCCGTCCCAGGGTGGCGGGTGCAGGGTGGGGGGCGTCACAGGTGCCAGTCTCCGTCCCAGGGTGGCGGGTGGGGCGTCACAGGTGCCAGTCTCCGTCCCAGGGTGGCGGGTGCAGGGTGGGGCGTCACAGGTGCCAGTCTCTGTCCCAGGGTGGCGGGTGCAGGGTGGGGCGTCACAGGTACCAGTCTCCGTCCCAGGGTGGTGGGTACAGGCAGGGCCATGCTGGCCCCACAGCCCTCATTTCACCTGCTGGGAACCTTCCAGAAACCCCACCGAGCTGGTTGCCTGCTAACAGGAGCTGGGGCCTCCCTCTCGCTCAGTCAGGCGTGGGGCGGGGCTCAGGTGTGGGGGCGGCTGGGTGGGGTCCCCCGAGGCCCCTCTCCAGGGCTCTGTGCTGCCTCCAAGGCCAGGGTCCCCACCCAGAGTCCCGGACTCCCTCGCTGGCTGGCTCAGGTCACAGGCACGCCCGGAACCAGTCACCACCAGGGAAGAGGTGCTGACAGCCCCACCCTGGTCCTGCACCCCCACAGTCTCCTGGGTTTTCCAGAACCACGTGGGTCCCCAAACAGGAGGAAGGCAGCGGGGCAGGGGCCGGGTGCTGAGAAGCGCCCCGTGTGCCCTGTTCCCGTCCTCCCTCTGGACAGGCGCCCGGGGAGCTGGTGGGGGGCAGGGAGGGGCGGGGAGGGCTTAGCCCCGTCCGCTTCTCCCCCACCCTCCGTGGGGGGGGGGGGGCAGGTCCCACTCCTGCCTCCTGCAGACTCAGCCTGTGGCCAACCGAACTCACCAGGGACTAAAGTCAGCCATGTGCAAGGCCGCCTGTTTGCGTGGCCTCTGCTGCTTTTGCATCTCTGTAAACGCTGGCGTGCGTTTCCAAGGCTTCTGTGACGGCCATGCCAGCCCGGTGGGCTTCTTAGTTCCGGAGCCGGAAAGCCTCTCAGGGGCTGGGAGGGGGCCCGGGGCAGAGGTGGGGCCTCGTCCTCAGAGGGGTCCCTGCCGTGAGGACGTGCCAGGGCCAGCACTGACAGCAGCACGGGGCAGGGAGTGGGGCCCAACCCAGGGAGCCCGGGCCACTGCTGCAGGGCAGAGGGTCGGCCAGGGGCCAGGGTCAGCAAGCAGAGACGGCAGCAGGCCCGGCTTCTGCCCAGCGTGAACACCTCGGCCCCAGCAGGGAGCACTAGGGCCGTTTGGGTGGCCCCTCCTGGTCCCTCTTCAGCCTGTCTCCTGGGTACATACTTGCGGTGCTGCTGGGAGCTGGGACTCGGAGCTGGCAACTGGGAGCTGGGACCTGGGAGCTGGGAGCTCGGAGCTGGGAGCTCGGAGCTGGGACCTGGGAGCTGGGAGCTGGGAGCTGGCAGCTGGGAGCTGGGAGCTGGGAGCTCGGAGCTGGGAGCTGGGAACTCGGAGCTGGGAGCTGGGAGCTGGGAGCTGGGAGCTGGGAGCTGGGAGCTGGGAGCTCGGAGCTGGGAGCTGGGACCTGGGAGCTGGGAGCTCGGAGCTAGGACCTGGGAGCTGGGAGCTCGGAGCTGGGAGCTGGGAGCTGGGACCTGGGACCTGGGAGCTGGGAGCTCGGAGCTGGGAACTGGGAGCTGGGAGCTGGGAACTGGGAGCTGGGAGCTGGGAGCTGGGACCTGGGAGCTGGGAGCTCGGAGCTGGGAGCTGGGAACTGGGAGCTGGGAGCTGGGAGCTGGGAGCTGGGAGCTGGGA